GTGGACTTGGCTTGGATTGATTGCTTAAGAGGTAAGCTTTTGTGTCCTCGGTTTAGCCATTGTTGGTTCCACCATATCCTATGGGGGAATGATTTATATGCATGATGTGTTTTCATGTATTGCTATTTGAAATGTTGTTGCGCTGTTATGTGCAAGTGCTTCATGATATGCATGTGGTTTGCCACCTAGACGGTAAGCCTGAGTATATAGAGACATACAATAGGGTGATCCTGTGGGTGGTTGCAAGTGTCGTCCTGCACTGATTGTAGGTTATAGACGTATGTAATTCCTGCATTTCTCTGGCCAGTAGAGTATTTTGACACACATGACATGATTATCTGCTGCATTGCACTGATTTTGGAACTTATATTGTTTTACTGCTTTTAGAACTTATATTACACATGTAAGTGAGCTTGGGGTGGAGAAATCCTTGAGGACCCCATGTCTTACTGAGATTTCTGTTTAGAGATCTCACCTCACGTTTGGGGCACATTCTCAGGTTCAGGTAACTCGGGGGTTGATACCTCGAGCGGCAGGAGGTCGGAGCTGAGTTGAGATTTACGCTTTTATGATGATATGCTTAGATATTGACATGCTTTATATTTATTGTCATGTTATTTGTTTTGCGACTCTGTTGGGCTTTGTTGCCTTATTTGGTGAGCATGGGGGTTGTCTATGCCGCATTGATTTGACTATGTTGATTTAGATTTGAGTTGTATAATGTATCAGGATTATGGTCTGGACTACGTGTTGTAGTTCCGTGACTTAGATACTTACTTATTATAGTACGAGATTATTCATTGTAGATAGTTGTCTATTTGCAATTTACATACATGCATTATTTTGAAAAAGGATTAAGTAATCAACTTGGTAATTAATAATGATGTCATAATTGAAAGTAAAAAGTTTATTCCGCATTTTAATTAAGCGCTGCTTAATAAGATGATATGATAACAAACTGGGTATACACGGGGTGTTACACATCACCTAATACCTTAAGGCTTTGTTTGAAAATTGGTTTTAGGAGGGGAAGGGAAAAGAAGAGAGGGTTTTAGTAAGCCCTTCCCTTGTTTGTGAGTTTAAAAAAAGGAGGGGAAGAGTTTGGGGATTTTTACTAAACCCTCCAAAACCCTCCTTCTTCATAAAATTAAAGTTCCCCTAATTTGGAGGGTTTGAGGGGAAAAATATTAAAAATTACTTATCTACCCTTAGCATTAAAATGTTAAAACTACATAATTGTGAATTATTTTTAAACACAATATTATTAGAAAAGTCTCAAATACCGACAGAATTTATTGACGAAAAATATTTCGTCAAAAATAGTGATGAATTTTTTTATGAAAATCATATATGTCAAAAAATTTCCGTCAAAACTAAAGACAAAATTAGAGACGGAACCAGATTTTGCCATAATCACTAACATAAATTTTGTACGGAAAAAAAAAATTCAGTCAAAATTATTGATAGAATCTAAATCTTTTTGACTCTCAAACAAGGGAAGTGGATACCCTCCAATTTCCTCCCTTTCTTTCTCCTCCCTCCCCCTTGGATCCCCTTCCTTCCCTTCCCCTCCAAACTCCCAAACAAAGCCTAAGGTTTTGGGTTGAAATGACGCTTATCATGGTGTCAAAGCTTTGATACCATGTAAAGAACCACTTCAACCCAAAACCTTAAGGTATTGGTGAGGCTAAATTAATTATTTTAATTAAATCCTTTTAACACACCCCCTCAGGTAAGAGCCCTTTGGACTAGAAGCGCGGATATGACACAAGCCCATTATTGGTCTGCCTTGTGCTGCACAAGCCCATTTTTTTGGTCTGCCTTGTGCTTTTCTTAATTCCACCTGAAAGTGGGGGCAGTGGGATCGAACTCGTGACCTCGTGGTCACTAAAGCTTTGATACCATGATAAACACCACTTCAACCCAAAACTTTAAAGCATTGGTTGGGGCTAAATTAATTATTTTATCATTTATCAAATAAGAAATATAAAATATTCACTGCCCCTTATTCTTCTTAATAATCTTTTAATAAATATTGTAAACAATTTTAAAACAAATAGATAGGTTAATTTGTACATTATCCACCCTACAAGCTAAATAAGTCTTTGTATAAGAGGACGTGATTGAACTATAATATGAAAGTGTTAACATGTGAAAATTATTGATTAACAAGGGTATCAATCAGTTATTCAATTAGCAGTAATTTGTTCCCACCTTATCAATTCCTAATTCAATAACCAATCAATATACATTATTAACTAATAATTTAAATATCATTAACTTGTGTACGAAAGGCCTCAAGTGTAGAAATAAAATAAGGGTCCCTTTTATCTCATGTAACATGAGATTTTTTTCTTCTACTATAGACACAAGAAGTTATAAGCCCCATCACCCATTAAAAAAATAAAAATTATGGCACACAATTCAATGTCTAATATGAGAAAGAATTCTTCTATAAAACGAAAATTCTTTTCCCCATAAAATAATGCACAAAAATATAACATGTAATGCCCTGTGTGTACCCGGTGTATCAAACATGTAAATGGCAATAAGCGCAGCTCAATAAATGCAGAAGCTAAAATTTTCCAATTATGAACCTTATAATATTAATCAAGTGGATTTACTTATTCTTTTTCAAAATCGCCTGTATGTAAATTGCAATAAATAACTACACTGAATAACCTCATAATACAAATAATGTATCAAGTCATGGAACTACAACACGTAGACCAGACATGTCCTGATACAATGATACAACTCAATCTGAAATAACACAACTTATACCAATATGGCATGGACAACCCCCATGCTCACCAAATAAAGTAACATAATCAACAAGTCATGTCTCAAATAGAATAGGCATAAAATATAAAAGCAAGGCATAAATCATAATAATATAGCAAGGCACATGCATAATCTCAACTCAACTCCGGCATGCTGCCGCTAGAGGTCTCAACCTCAGAAGTACCTGTACCTGAAAATGTGCCCCACACGGGGTGAGATCTCAAACGAGAAATCTCAGTAAGACAAGGGGTCCTCAAATATCTCTCCACCCCAAGCTCACTTACATGTGCAATATAAGTTCAATATAAGTTCAAAAGTAATAACAACAGTATAGTAACAAAATCTGTGCAATGCAGCATATGTCCATGTCATATGTGTATGCATCCTACTGACCAGAGAATAAAAGGTAGGGATTACATACATCTACAACCCATAGTACAAGGAGTCCACCATGTACCTCACAAACGGTGTTACCTTCTTGCATGTGGCCCGACATGCTATAGAATTACCGTCTCGTGTGGAATACCCCACATACATATACATATGGCAATTGCACTATAATAATATCCAGCTCAACAACATATCCAATATTCATCATATAAACAGATATATTTTCAGAAAAACACATTATGCATATAAACCATTCTTCCATAAGGTATGGTGGAATCATCAATGGGTAAAACTGAGGACACGAAAGCTTACTTGTAGTGCCAAAATCCCTATCCAAAGGCTCGATATATATAGATACACCAACAGTCACACAATCCGACAATTGCAATCTGTTCTGTACGAAAACATAATTAATATTCAGAAATCCCAATTTTCATATCCATTGAGCAATGTTTTCTTTTTCGTTTAGTGACTTAAACCCCTTCTAAATCATAATTATCGCATATTAATCTTCACTATTATTGGTATTAATATTTTCCAGCAGTAACACTGACTCCCTAGGGTACCATACCCAAATTGGAACTTTCCCACGCATCAGAACTGATTTCTGGTCTTTTTGATAGGGTGTAATCGATTACCATACAGGGGGTAATCGATTACTCCACACAGTAATCGATGACCATAAACAGGGTAATCGATTACTCAACATGGTAATAGATTACCATGCACAGGGTAGTCGATTACCACGCGGACAGAACACGAAAACTGCAGAATTTTTTGCATAATCCGTGGGTTCCATGGCTTCCAAGGGTCCAAGGTCCGATTTTTATCAAAACAGCAGTTCAACTCACATGCTTAAACATCATTATACCATGTTTTACATGCATCAATAAGATTTTTACTTTTTACTTCACAAACTAACTCATTTTCAAGAAACTACAAAATAAATGATTTGTAGTAACCTATGGACCTTTGAAATCAGAAAAATGGGGAAGCTTTGAGGACTTTGAAGGTGCTCCAAGCCACTGACTTGGTGGCACACGAAATCCCACTCCAAGGTAGGTTCTTTCCTCACAAAGGTTGGTTCTTGAAGCTTCAAATGCAAAGGAAATGGCTCCTACACCACCCAACCAAGATGAACAGTCCCAAAGCCCCCAAGACAGCATTCAAAAACCTACCAATTGAAGAACAGTTCTTTCACAAGAAAGTGAAGGCTTTTGAGTATTCAATGTGTTTTGGTGAAGAAATCAAGAGGAAAGATAATCACTTGGAGGTTTTCTTGAAGAGGGAAGGTGGTGGCAAGGTGGAGACACAATGGCAGCTGCTGAATGTCACATAAGTGTGTGTAGAATTCTGACCTAGGTTTATGTGCCTCTCTATTTATACCAATGTGCCCACTAATCAACAATATTAGTTCTAATAGCTGCGCTGATCATTTTTCTATCAAACTTTATATTCTGAACCTAGATATTTTTCTAGTAATTATCCTATTTTTATTATAATTTTTCTAAACACTTTACCGGTACATATTTTATACATAGCTGGTATTAGTTCGGACATCATCGCTCATTATCTTTACTTCAAAAATGATATCCACGACCTAGATATTTTTCTAGGAATATTTGTATTTTTATTACAATTTTTTGGAATACTTCACCAGTATGCATTTATACCGTGAAGCAGAACTGGTATCCGACTTTTCATCAGAAAAGCGATTTAAGCGTTATTTAACCTTCTTAATAATTATTATGATCTTTCTGTGTGTATCCAAAGTCAATTATGGAATTATTTCTTAAATTCATAATTAAATTATTTAAATTCCTAATTTAACGTTGCAGGTTCTTATATTCACCCCACCTTTTAAGAATTTTGTCCACAAAATTAGAGACATACATGTCCCTAAACTCGGGGTATTGCCAGAGAAGCTCATCCTCCCGCTCCCAAGTACACTCCTCTGGAGTTCTTCCTTGGCACTGCACTTTGACCATGGGAATGATCTTGCTTCTTAGTTTCTTCTCCCCACGATCGAGTATCTTGAATGGTCCTACGAGAGTCTTTAAGTTCTCTCGAATTTTCACATCATCAAGTTGCACAATGTGCGAAGGATTCGCTATGTATCTCCATAGCTGGGACATGTGAAACACATCATGGATGTTGGCCAAGTTTGGAGGCAAGGCATGCCGGTAGGCAACAGGCCTTACCATACCAAGTATCTGGTATGACCCAATGAATCTCGAGATAAGCTTCATCACTATGAGAGCACGACCAACACCGGTGACAGGTGAAAGTCTCACAAACACGTGTTCACCCTCACTAAACTCCAATGGTCTATGCTTGTTATCATAGTAACTCTTTTGACGGTTCTGTGCTTGTTTCAGCTTCTCTCTGATCATTTGGATTTACTGGGTTGTATTTTGGACAAAGTCCAAGCCAAATAACTCACTATCTCCAACCTCAGACCAACAAGTACGAGTCCTACACCTCCTAACATACAGCGCCTCGTAGGGTGCCATGCCTAGGCTAGCATGAAAACTGTTGTTGTATGAAAACTCAAGCAATGGTAGGTACCGATCCCATGCTGAGCCCTGCTCCAAAGTGCAAGCCCTCAACATGTCCTTCAATGTTTGGATGGTCCGCTCAGTCTGTCCATCAGTCTGAGGGTGATAGGTTTTACTCAATCCCAACTGAGTACCAAAAGCTTCCTACAGTGCCTCCCAGAACCGAGATGTGAACTTCGGGTCCTATCACCAATGATACTCTCGGGCACCCTATGAAGCCTCACAATATCGCGAATGTATATCTTGGCCAACTACTCTGTAAAGAAGCTCACCTTTATTGGAAGGAAATGGACAAACTTAGTCAATTTGTCGATAATAATCCAAATAGAGTCACAACCAGCCTGAGTCTTAGGCAATCCACCATGAAGTCTATGAAAATGCTCTCCCACTTTCACTGCGGAATCTCAAGAGTTGAAGCTTACCCGATGGTTTCTGTTGCTCAATCTTCACTTTCTTGCATATCAAACACTTGGACACATAAACTGCTATATCTTTTTTCATGCCCAACTATGTTTTTATAGAAAGGTCCATGGACTTTATTTTTCGACGCTTCTAGAGAGGATCGAACATATGCTCTCACCCTCTCAGAAGCACAGATACGCAAGTTTTTAAAAAATTTGCGTGTCGGACACGTGTCTGACACGGACACGCTCCGACACGCGTCCGACACGCGGTCAACATTTGGGGACACGCAGTCAACTCTCTGACACGTTTCGACACGTTTTTCTGACACGCAGTCAACTTTTTCCGACACGCGGTCAACGCTCGGACATGCTCGGACACGTTTTTTTCTTTTTCTTTTTAACTAAATATAAAAGAAATAGTGCTGACACCGCTCACCACCGCTTGCATCACATTGCGTTGTGTCCAGTTATCTCTCAATTTCGTTCGGTGCTTTGCTTTGGTGCAGAATGATTTTAGCAATTTCGTGGATACCGAAAGGGGTTTCAAAGCCAGAACCCCATGTGGCGGAACCTCCTTCAAAGGAAGATATTGAAGAATTCATCAGCACCCACAGAAGAGACAGTGAGAACGAAGATGATGATGATATGGATGCGGATGCCAACAAACACAGCGATGAAATTGCCCAAGCATTAATCGTAGCAGACGCAATTGGCAAAGCATCCACAGAAAAATCTGATGATATAACTCTTGGCTTGGAGGAACTTCACATGGAAGAATATGATGATGAGGATGAAGCAATTTATAAATTAATTTTTTTTTTTTATGAAAATTAACATGAAAAATTAACAAAGTATGAAAAATTATTTATATTTATATTTATATTATGAAATTTAAATATTTGATTGGTTATATGATTTATTATGAATTCTTATATGTATTAAATATAAATTATATTATATATATTAAAAATTTTATTTAATATCAAAACGTGTCTCAACGTGTTGAAATATGGCATTTTTTAGAATTAACGTGTCGGCGTGTCGTGTCCCGTGTCCCGTGTCCGTACATCATAGCTCACCCTCAACTGCTCAGTTTCCTGAAACCAATTGAGCTACCATAATTTGATAAATTGTAAGTTACGACGAAGGGAAACGAATTGCAGTAGATAAGCAAATTTCACAATCAATGCATATCATTTTATGGAATTCAACACCAATAGGGCATTTAAAATTACAAGAGCTTAATGTTAATGTAATAATTATTTCAAACCTTCAAGAATTACGCCACCAAAGACAGTATGTCCATTAATGATACATTCTATAATCTCTAATGTACAATGCACAAAGTTTGCTTGCAACTTATAAAATAAATAATCAGTCTTACGATACGCAAAACTCATAACCAATGTTATAAAAATCGGACCAGTGAACGTCCTAGTTGGGGTACTGGGTCACTAACTCATTGACCCAACAAATAAATCACCAGTTGAATCGCATAATTTGAATTTATATGAAAGTATATAATAAATATTATAGAAGTAATAAAATGTCTCAAATAAGTAATTGGTATAGTGATTGTTGTCTCTTATTTAATGCAATGTGGCTTGGGTTTAACTTTTGCTGGGTTCACAATCTATAGAAATAGTTTTAAAAAAATATTAAATTGGTTCAACCATTGAACCAATATGGATTTTCACTGCTTGAACCCGGGTTGAACCTGGTCATCGGTTTGTTATCGGATTAAAAGCATATATGGTCCATTCACTGAGCCGGACCAGTTGGAGGTTCAGTTTTCGAGTCAACAGGTTGAATCGGCCAGACCGGTCCAATTTTCCCAATATGGCTTACACTCGTACAAATTTTTAAAAATTTCAAGAGTAAATACCCTTTTGGGTCGCTACAAAAAATACGGTCCCCAATTTATTTCCTTACAAAAAAAAATTAGTCTCGAGGTCCTTAAGAAATTCAAAATGGACCCATTTTAGTCCTTTTGTGGGACTAATGTGGGTATTTTTTGAATTTACGAGGGACTATGATTTCAACTAAATTGGTCCACTTTGAATTTTTTAGGGACCTTGAGAGTAATTTTTTTTTTTTAAGGAACTAAAATAGAAACCGTATTTTTTGTCAAGAACGCAAAACAATATTTACTCAAATTTCTAAACAATAGCCTAACTTTTCAGCTCATAATTACATAATTCAGGTCCAGCAACATTGCATATCCAATCCAATTTTTTTTTTTTTTTGGAAATACAATGAAAACTAAAGCAACATAAAAAAAAAAGCCCTATACTGGGCACAATCTTGGGAGACTAACTCCCCTCAAGTCATTACGAAGCAATTCCAAACAAGCCGTTGGAGGGACAACCAACACAATCAGTTGTCCATCCTGATGAGGTGCATGAGTAGCAAGCCAATCAGCAACAAAATTGCCTTCTCTATAAGTATGACTAAGCTGAATAATCCAGTCTCTTTGAAGCATGCTACGAGCTCGGATGATTAAAGCAGAAAGAGGATGACTTACGTCACACCCTTTTCTTATAAATTCCAAAGCCACCTTGGAGTCACCCTCCACAAAGACTCTCCTAAATCCCTTATGCCAAGCCAGATCCATACCTGTCAAGAACCCCCAAATTTCCGCTGAAGTAGAAGTATCACTCCCAAGGAATTTTGTAAAACCAGTTAACCAGTTCCCAGCAGCATCCCTTATGACTCCACCACATGCAGTCCTTTGCCCACTGTCTATACTGGAACCATCCACATTAAGTTTAACATAACCCTCAGAGGGAAAATTCCGGTGAATAAGACGTTCCTCTCTTCTAAGCTCCTGATGACCAATCTTAATAAGGGTTTCATTAGCCAATTGAATATTACCACAAGTATAGGTAATGCGCCTAATTAGACCATACTTCGAGGTGATAGTTTGATCAAAGATCGCCTTATTTCTTTCCCCCCACAAACACCAAGCTATCACCCCAAAATACAAAGGCCAAGTTCGATCAGTTTGAAACGGACCTTTTAATCCTAGATTTGTCTGAATCCATAGGTGAAGATCCATGGAGAAAAAATCACTACGGTTATCAGAAGGAACCCAATGCTCCCATAATTCCCTGGCACCAGAACAATCTCTAATGGCATGTAAACTATCCTCAAGATTATAATGACATCCAATCCAAAATTTTAGTCACATTCGAAGCATGCCTTATAATGTACAATATATAAGGGGGGTATCATAGAAATTTTTTTATTGCAAATTCAATTTAAAAAAATTAAAATAAACGCTTCTGGGTATGAAATAAAATTTGCAAATAACCCACTATTATAGGGATACACTTTCTCAATTAACACCAGAAAGGATAAACATTTGTCCAAAAATCGTTTTCCATTCAACCCCAATTTTTAAAACATTAAGAATATGCCGATGAGGCATAATAATTAAAGGCGTCAACCACAAAAATAATGTATTTAAAGAGGGCTCAACACATTTTATAATCACGTACATACACAATATTATAATATTATGATATATTTTCAATAAAGCAAAGCTTTTACGCGACAAGGCAAGTTAACGACAATGATCTTAAAGTCATTGGCGATATGCTTCACGTTACCAAAATGTTGATACATATTTAGTTATTATTATATTAACCAAAAGGCTAATGGGTCAAACCGATACAAGGGAGACAAAACGAGTTAACATATGATAATCACATGCTATTATTAGAATAGATCCCATTAGATCCAGATTTTACAGACAACATCTATAAATTTTATTGTTAAAAAATGCATATAAAATCGAGAATGAAGCCGCCTCTAACCAAATGGACGTGACACTATGTCTAGACAAAACGGGTTAACATATGATCATCACATGCTATTATATATTAGCATAGATACCATTAAACCCGGATTTTACAGACAAGACCTATAAATTTTATTGTTAAAAAATGAATATAAAATAAAGAGTGAAGCCGCCTCTAACTAAATGGATGTGGCACTATGTCTAGACTAAACGGTTTAACATAATCAAATGATGGTAGTTCAGGTGACATCAGGGAACTGAGCAGGTGAGGGTGAGAGTATTGTTGGGTTTAGTATGCTCTTTTCACTTAAGCCCAATAGTTTTAGTGAGAGTGAGCCCAAAGTCCAATTTTAACCCATGAAGCTTAGGGTTAGTTTTGGACTGGGCAGAGTATATAAACTCTCTTTTCTTCTAGTGCCTCCTAGGGTTACTGACATGAGAAACACACCAAAGAGGCAGACGTTCATCATCTGAACGGTTGCACACGACCCCGTGATCCCCTTGAGTCATAGCCTGGAAGATCAACTGTAGAGTGGAATTGCAACCGTTCGTGGTGCGTTGCTGCAGATCGTAAGGCTTGGGAAGGAAAACTGAACGTGAGAAAGTGTCACGCTCGCTACTTCACCCCC